AAATATGAAAGAAAGAAAAAATGGCGGTACCAGAAGACAGAAAGAAAAAAATAAACATTTGTAAAGTTAGGAAGAACCAAACGTTAAAAAGAAAAGGGAAATTATGGAAGAAAGAAAGAAAAAAAGAAAGAAAGAAAGAAAAGTAGAAGCCAGAAGTTAAAAAGAAAGAAAAACGTTTTTAAAGAAAGAAACAATGAAAGAAATAATGAAAGCAAGAAAGGAAGGACAAAAGTTAGAAAGAAAAAGAAAATTATGGAGGAAAGTAAGAAAGATAAAGATAAAAGGATATAAACAAAATATGAAAGTGGAATTAAGGAAGAACGAAAGAGAGAAAAAAGAAAAGAAAGGAAATGGAAGGAAGGAAGGAAGGATGTTATAAACAATAAGCGTTAGTAAAAAAAGAAGGAACGAATATATAACCAAATTTAGAAAAAAGGATAAACGTAAGCAAAGAAGAAAAAAAGAGTGGTTAGAAAAAAAAAAACACAGAAAAGTAAAGAAAGAAAGAAAGAAAGAAAGAAAGAAAGAAAGAAAGAAAGAAAGAAAGAAAGAATGAAAGAAATATAAAGGGAAAGAAAGAAAAGAACCGGAAATATGAATGAACATTCAACGTAAATAAAAAAAAAAAAAAGAACGAAAATAAAGAAAGAATGAATGAGAGGGAGAAAAAGACAGAGAAAAAAATATGAAAAATAGTAATAGTAAAATACGTTTGATTAAGAAAGAAACATATGGAAGGTGCTGAAAAGTTCTCGACGTGATCCTTTTCCGAAAATCTAATCAAATGCCTTTCTTTCTTTTTTTTTTTTTTTTTTTTTTAAAATGTCTTGGTTGGAGTGAGAACTATTCAGAACCGGCGTTATATTTGGCACAGAAAGGAATAAACATGAGGCAAAAACATAATTTCGACAGACATCGGAAAATAAAGAACGTTTCTCAAGAGGAAAGATCCGATAAGACGATCGTAGAAATCGAAAATATCCCAACTGACGCCTATATCGGAATTAAATTCTTTCAAATCTGCAGGTGCGCTGCAGCCAAATTACTCAGAAAACGGCCCGCTAACTGATAGGTTCTATTTCGTATATAAACGATGCATGCAAAATACCGACATATTTGCTTAAACGAACGGGCCCTCCACTGATATGATATTAACGCTTTGAATAAACTATGACTTATCACTCAGTAACATCTTGAAATTAGGTTTTAGATTTTTCGTTAACTCCTCAAGTGGTGGGTAAATTGAACGTACACGCCAAAAAGCATAAATTTCGATTTTTTTAAGGACTTTTATTTTTGTTATAACTATACACAAAGACGTTCTACTGGACGCAAGGTCATATCGTTAGACCGTTCGCTTTTTCAAACACGATACCTGCTTTCAAATCTCAAGCTAGTCGATATTTTTTTTCAGGAAGGTGAATTTATCGGCCTGGATGCACGGTACCACACGTTCTAGTTAGGATTTAGTGAATTTATGCGATTATCTTATAGGATATTTACTCTCTCTTAAGGAAGTGTTCTTTATTTTTCCCGGGTATGGCGAAATATTTAACCCACGTTGATTCCATGGGCCAAAAATTTCCGAATAAAGTTCGATAGACCGAACTGTTGATCGTTCTGCAAGCACGAAGTGATAGTTCATGGTGACCGAGATTGTGTGCACACTAGGTTTTCTCTAACGGCTTATCATGCCGGATAGGCTAAGCGCTCTCTTCCATAAACTCTAACTAAAGTGCGTACACGATATATGCAGTATAAACCTACATTTAGCTTTGTGGACAGTGAACAAACACATTTACCTGAGCAGGCGCCTATAACAAGGATTGGCGGAATGTGTCCGTATGAGAAGCTGGTTTTTATTATTATTATTATATACACAATTATAGTAATGATATTTTAACTACTTTAGCTTATCAAAATAAAAAAAAATAAACGTATGTAAAATAAATGTTAGCTTCCAAAATTTAATATTTTTAATAGTAAGGTATTCAGAGAAACCTTTCATGCACAATAGAGTTGTGTAATCTGTGCACCAAGTTATCATTTTTCATTTCTTTTTTTTTTCCGTCCTGGGTATGATGATAAACTACATCCGGCAGCGAGGATTCTGATCGGGATTTTTTGAGGAGCGTGGAACCAACTCTTAATTAGTGTTGTTCCCAAGTCCACCCTGACCCAGGGTGGTAGCACATGCTAGGGTCCCAGTTAATAGTGAACACCCCCAAGTGGGATCAAACGATGAAAATATAACAATACATTAGAAAAAAATTACCAGCAACATTTCCATAGTTAAAAGAAAATAAAAAATTACCAACAATACATTATTGGAAAAAAAAGATTACAAGTAATATATTTTTTGAAAAAAAATTACCAAACCTCACAAGAATATAAAATTTCGACATTAAATGACCCAGAAGTAGTATTAGGTTGGTGCAAAAATAATGACGTGAGAATGTCGTTTTTGATGTTAAAAAATACGTCAAAAAAACGACATTATTACTTCATTATTTTTGCACCAACCTAATATATTTGCCGTTAAACAAACCAACCCAAACTTTTTTCTTCGGGAAGTAGGCATTGCACTGTCTTTGTCTTCATTTTCCCAGCTTTATTTGCAGGTAAATACTCGAGGACGTGATGTGACCTCATGAATTCTAATAAATAGTGATGATACGAATCCTAGAGTTGCCAATTAGTCATTTAAACAAGCATTATAAATAAATTATTATTATATCTTGTATGAAATTTTTTTAATTATCCGATGTTGATATCCGTTGATCATTTTTTTATTTTATTTTAATCATTTCACTCCAAGCAAGACAATAAAGCTACTGAAATGCAAGGGGTTACTGAGTGTGAATAAATATGAGAAAATAAATTAAAAAAAAATAAAACACTATTATGGAGAGAGGGCAATATAAAAATACGGATTCAGAAGACTGAAAATATTGTTTAACATTTATCTACTTGTTTGGAGTGAAATAATTGTACAAAATGTTGCGGAGAACAATGACTGCTTAAGTCCTGGGGGAGTGGAAATTTGTTTGCGGTTTATAACATTTTATTTAGCTTGTCTATCTTTACAAGATAGACCAAAAATGAAGTATTGTTGTCATATCTGGGCTAGAGCTGCAAAATGTCCACCTTTCGGCATTGACAAAACCATTTATGCGGTCAACTAGCGGAGAGACATTCTCGCTTCTGCAACCTCTTTCACGCAGACGAACCGCCAGCCCATTGCTTCTCGGTCGCTATTTCCATAGCAAATGCTCAGGCAAACTGATTTACTATTATCGTGTCAGTAACTTAGATTTGATTTGATTTGTTTGTTGAAAGGCATATCAACTCCTTATCGGTCATTTCATGCCGAAATTTAATTTTTTTGCGAGATATGAAGTAATAAAAATATAAGTTATTCTGCTTTCACAATTGAATACATGGTAGATGATACTCAGATTTTGTGTAAATACTTTAAGGTAAATCGATTTTAACCTTTATTCCCAAATCAACTTTGGATAAATCTAGATAATAGGGACTTTATGAGACAAAAACTAACACCGAAGTTTAGATTTCTAGCTTTAAACCCTTTTAAGGAAATACAATCAAATATTGGCATTAAAAATGCGCTTTAAAAACCATTCATTTTGGCAATATTTGATTGAAAAATGTTATTTCAACAGTGAATCCAAACAGATTGCTGTTGTAATAAATCAATTTTATATTACATGAAAACTAATTCAATCCTAATATTTATATAATCATATTATCAAAATTTTCAGTGTAAGAACCTTTGGAAACAAAGGAAGGTCTTAGTTGACAACATAATGTTTTTGCAAGAATGTGTCTTTCTTACTTCCAACGTGTAAACAAAATGAGAAGCTTCATATATTAATTTCTCTGCTCTTTCAACACTCCAAGAATGTCAAGGAAAACCAGGCATCTCTAATTTTGTGTTATTTATAAGAGGTGCTTGAATTTGATTTTCTGAAAATTGTTCAGTGGTTGCAGCTTCACAAATTCCATTCTGGGATAGATTAATTAATTCTGACCAATGCAAGACTTCAAGGTTGATACCTGATATTTTATTCAATCTTTTCTTGCGTAAATTCCCATTTCGGAAAGGATAAAAATTCAATTTCTATTTTAATTAAACAATCAATGCCTATTCTGTTCTATCTTTCAATTAATAAAACTTAAATCCAGAAAATCCTTTAAATCCAGAAAAATTAGTCTATTTTCGTATATTTACTTACCTAACGGGCAGAAGTTTTCTGAAAGCTATTTTTCTCACTTCCAATTCATCTGACTTCATCATCGAATAAAACACCTTTTCTGGTAACAGACCAAAAGCATTATATTGGATGTTCTTGAAGACAATATTTTCCATTTCTTCAGAGTCTTTCTTAATCATTTGGATCATATTGAATATATACAGCAACTAGCTGCATACTAATACAGTGTAACCCGGATATAAGAGAGTTGTCGCGACCGGAAAAGAAGTCTCTTATATCCGGGTTTGGTCTATTTTATATACATTAACACAGGCTCTAATTTGGGACCAGAAAATATCTCTTATATCCGGGTCTCTTATATCCGGGTTACACTGTAATATATCTAATAAGTTGGTGTTGCTTGTTACAGAGATCTAAAATGTACATACCTCTGGTACACGTGCACATTAACCTGGTTGCTAAAGTTCACAATCCTGCATTACTTAATGGTTCAATTTTCCAGGACAATTGTAAAGTTAAAGTGGACAGCGCTAGCATATATTCTAAAAGGAGGGTTTAGTCTTTACTTAGTACCTCCATTTTCACTATAGATGTTATATTATTAAGAAGGCCACTGATTCATATAAATTCTACTTGTGGCAATTCATGATTTGCCTAGTGGTCCTGTAAAAGCAGTCGGACTTCTTGTATTATCAACATATTTAAAACTGCTTTGAATTGTAGTCCAGTCTTATATAATAAACAGCCAATTGTATATTATTTTCGATGGATCTTCTTCTCCAGAGCAGTTACAAAGCCTGCTTTACATCTATTATTTGTATTTGTGTTGTCCAAATAGCAGCCTTAAGACTGTTTATACTACCAAATTCTTTCATAGCACCAAAGGTTTATTCTTCTAGAACAACACCAGCGGCACCTGTAGTCTATGACTCAGGTATTTGTCAGTCTCAGTTGCTGCCTCTTGAGTAAAGATTAAATGGTGTTTTATGCTCCTTTCTTTTTTTAGTTTAATGTCACCATTTTCTCCTATAACTTCTTTGTACGAAAGTGTTTCTGTATTAATGTTCTTACCAACTCCTCTTAAACAGACACGCTTTTTAATATTTTCAGTGTATCTTTCAGGTGTAATTACTTTTTATTTTAGCCTTTTCTCTATCTATTTTTGACTTTATAATGTTTTTAAAATCAAAACTGAGCTAAAAAGGCCCATAGCCCGTAAATCTACGAGAAGAACATTAGCAAATGATGTACCAAGATTAGCGGAAACGTCTGCCTTATCTTGCATTTTTATTCAGATATTTTTATGAAACGTTTGAAAAAATTTTACTGTAGGAAATAATAATAAGTTAAACTACACTGTCAATTTATATTTTACTTAAAAATTTGCAACTATTATCTATTTTACCTTATATATCTTAAGAGCTTCCTCTGTAAATAAAAAACAAAATGCACGCTGATATAACGGTGTAAATCGCAAATAATCATCCACGAAATTTAAACCCGGTTTATAAAAAATACTAAGTGAAACCGATGTTTATTTTTTTTTTCTCCGAAAGAAGACTATCACTTAAAATAAAGACATGTTTATGATTTATAAATGGTTTTACTGAATTCATTGTAAAACATTATTTCTGAAAGAAAAATAAACTAAAACACTAAAGTTAAATTAATCTTAACATAAACTACGATGTTGCCTTTTTAACAACACTTAAATAATTTATTTTAAAGTAAAATTCATAAAGCATGTTATTTCCTATAACATAATTATATGTGCATTATTTTATATGCTTCTCTTTTCCAGTATTTTAAAGAAATATTAAACCTCTGTTTTAAATTGATTTATATTTCTTAGCCTGGAATAATCTGGCCTGGTTATTTATTTCGGTTAACAACGCAACGCAAATATTAATTAACTCGAATTTAATTACATTTCCTAACATGAATTCGAAATTTTAACGTATAATATTTTGTGTGTGATTTTATGATATCATGTTCAAACTATCTCGAGTTGTCCAAGGGTCTGGTTTAAAAAGTGACTTACATGCTTGGGTGGACATGATTACTAGAGACAGTGATATATGTACTTAACTCGTTGCGTCTTCTCGTGCTAAAGTTCTCGGCTGACATTAAATGGGAAGACTATATTGAATCTATTGATAGTTTAGCTGCTAAGAAAGTTAGTCCACTGTGTGGTACTACACGCACACACATATACACGAACACGTATATATATATATATATATATATATATATATATATATATATATATATATATATAATAAAAAAAAAAAGAATAGTAAGATATATAATTTGAACATATAATTAAACAGAACTAATGGTTTTGATTTAATTATGTAATTGAATTTGAAGTCTTTAGTTTCTGATTTTAAAACATGGTAATTCCTGTGTAGCGATGAAATGATATTTTTAAATCAGTTAATTCATAATATATGTATTTGTATGTGTGTGTAAGGGGCATGTGTCAGTTACATGTTCACATGTGCCTTACTTATTTTTCATCCATAAAGTCCCATGAGCCACTCAAGGTAGAGTATTACGAAATGAGGTTGATGCTCGTAAGAGGGGGAGCTAAGAAGTAGTTTATAAGGATATGTAGGAAAGTTAAGGGTTGACTCAAGACTTGAAGAGGTTAAAATTGGATTATCCGGGAAGCATCCAAACGGGAATGTGTCCCTTCTTGCGAAGAAGCTGTCCGAATTGGACATATTTCTTGCTAACAGAATACGAAGAATACGTAGGTGTCATGCCGGGTCTTAGTCGTGAAACCCTGAACTGGTGGAAATGACGTGGGTTTTATGACAAACTAAACCTAGCAGACACGAAAAAGAAACTACAAATGTTCCTACAGAAGGTAACAAAGGAAAGGGAGAAGAAAGGACAAAGTATAAAGTACAAGAAAGTAGTGTTGACCATGTTTGCCGCAGTCTCTGAGTATGGAATCCAGTGAAGTCCGTAATCTGTTCAATATCAGATGTCGGCAGTGAAGATTCAGAGAAAGTAGCGGTTGTTAAGTAATTCTTTAAGTCTTCGATATCAGGTTGGCAGTGCAGACAAATTGGGAGAAAAAAAATGGCTGCCTTTATACACGTCGCATTGAATATTTTGAGCTTTCTGATTGGTTAACCCTTCTATTGGTGAACTATAAAATGAGTCAGCTCATTTAGGCTAACTCACTAGTACTTACATACCCAAAAAACTGCAACAAGTAGGATTCATGGTGATCAGCAAAAGGTTGAGCCCAAAGTGCAAATTACAAATCGGAGATAAATCCAGCAAGTAGAAATATTTAAATATCTGGGAAGTGTACTAACAGAGGACGAAAAGTGCGATGACGTATTTGAATGGCCAAAGATTTATTCCAAAAACTAAACTGAGTATAAAGACAGAAAAATGTCGCTAGAAACAAAGAAAAGAACGGTTATGAGATATCTGTTCTCTTGTATGGCAGTGATTACTAGACAATCTCCTTAAAGGTGAAAAAGAAACGTTGAAGCAACAGAAATGTGGTTCTACAGAAAGATGCTGAGGATCCCATGGACCGAACATGTGAACAAGGACGAAGTTTGGGAGAAAATGGAAACGAAAAGGAAACTTATACTTAACATCAAGAAGAGTCAGTTGAAATTTCTGAGGCATCTAATGAGGAAAGAGGGCTTGGAAAATCTGATACTCACAGGACATATTTAGGGACAGAGGAAAGCCGCGTCTAACTTATTTGATGGGCTTGAGTAAATGGATAGTAAAATAGGGTTTGGGAAAAATAACAAGAAGACAGAAGTGCTACAAGGAACAGGAAGTTGTGGAGCGTCATGATCGCCTACTTCCTGAAAGGGACACGACACATAAAAAAGCCCCCTTCAATCCCCTCCTCGGAGTGTAAAATCGAGCTGATCATTAGTAGATCAGATATTTTGCTTCTCATTGTGTAGCTCTTGCTGTGCCTTCCTGCGAGTTGTTGCATGTGGGTGAAGGTGATGAATTAATTTTGCTCCTCATGGTACTTCTCACTCGGGCTGTTGAAGAGGCTTTTGAAATCCGTTCGTTTTGCCCTCCTTGACTTTGCTGCCAACCCACTGACTCGAATTCGTCGCCCGCTAATTGCTTATGCACTTCATGCGTTCACACCTGAGACCCAGATTTGTGTTTAACGTCAGCTGTATCGGCTTGGTAATTATATGTGTGTGAAAAAATCGGAAACAAACAAATAGCAAGGTACTTCAGAATGAAAAGAAAAAGAATAAGGAGTCCAGTATGAAGTAGCTGAAACTTGTGAAAGATACGTTTAAAAAGAAGGTGTGTTTATTTACAACAGGTCAAATTGGAAAAGCTCTTTGTTATAGCGATATAAATGCAGATATTCTCGTAGGTGCGTTGAATATCCACATATCTATCTATCTATCTATCTACCCTCCTAGGTAATGACGTGGTTAAGTCAAATAACTAGATATTAGCGACCGTATATACGTGCGTTAATGTGCATACACAGTTAAGCGAATAAATATTTACTCAATTTAGTTTAAGGTGTAAACAAATCAGTGCGCAATGTGGTTAGACAGAGCTTAGAAGTATATATTAATAAATATACATATACCTACGTTCGAATTACAACTCATCAGCCACACGAATTATTACTTTTTATTTTTTTAAATCAAAAGTAATAATTCGTACCTGATGAATTGGTAGAACAACGAAATTTGCACTTCGAACTTATGTATATGTATATTTATTAATATATACTATCTATCCTATACTATCAACATTGACATCGTCATAGGCAGTAAGTTTATGTAAAATAAATAAACCCACCAGATCAGAAGCCTCTGCAGAATCTAATGATCCCATTGAAACATCAAAGTAATCACCAGAGTTCTTAACCCTCTATTCTTTATTGTTGATGAGAATAGATCTCCTACAGTTCATTATTATGTTTATCTTTTCACTGGAGATGTTTGAATATTTTTTGGCAAATTCCAAAGCCAGGGTAAAGAGATCCTTAGAGATGCAAGGGTAAAAAGCCAAAAAATGATTACTTGTCAAAGTAATAATTCGTGCCTGATTAGTTGCACTTCAAACGTAGATACAGGTATATTTATTAATATATACTATCCATCCTAATATGCATATATATGATAACTATATCATTTTTTAATCAATTCACCCCAAGCAAGACGATAATGCCGTTAAGACGCAAAGAGGTACTGGGAGTGAAAGAGAAAGAAAAGAATTTAGAAGAAACTAGAAACGCAATCCTAAATAGGAAACAAGAAATAAACCTCTATTCATGTTCAAGTGACCGGGGAGGAGTGTGTATCGGACGATAGAAGAAATTATGATAAAATATATATGATAAACTATATTATTAAATATAGTTTTAAGCTATGCTATCAATATCAGTGTGATGTCGTCCCCTGGTCGTAGCGCCAACTGTGACGTTCTATCCTGGTCTACCACGGCACCAACTGTGACGTCCCTAAACAGCACCAATTGTGACGTCCTCGCCGCGGCGCCAGCTGTTCGCTCCTCTCTGCTCCGTTCGGGTGTCGCTGCTCCAAACGTGACGTCCGCCTGTCGTGTCAGTCGTGTTGTCTCGTCCTGTGACGACCAACTGGCTTGGTATCGGTCGCGGCACCCAAATGTGACGTTCTAAAATTTTGGTGATTCGGGTGGGAATCTGGTTAGATTTGATATCAGCCTCGTCGTTCCCAACTCGCTTCCAACGCCTGGTTACCAAGGTAACTGCATAGATCTCCAGTCTGCCTACCCACGTTGTGAATTGATCTTAGGCAGACGAGATCAATCAGTGGTTGGGGCCGTAATGCAAACCGAGTTCAACGGGGGTGATACCACACAAATATGCATAAAAGAAAATAAAATGAAAACTCAAAAAGTTCAAAGTATCAAAGAAAAAGGTAACAAACTTTATGTCTCGTTGTTCGATACATAGGACTGCATCTATCTCCCGACCCGTTCTATGGATTGTGACACGTGGTTTTCCGTTAGGCGAGTTTTAACGATTCAAGTTGTTTGCTTTCTAAGAAATTGGTTTTTCGGTGTGTCTTTGGACGAAAGTCGAAGAAAACTTATTTTAGTGGTCTGGATCTAAGTCGCTCTTCAAAATAATTGTTCTTGGGTTGAAGAGGAGTCCGCAATTTGCGTGAATCTTGGTCAGCTATCTGCGAGGCGGCTTCAACTGGAGACTGACTCTGGGAACTGAATTCCTGGAACTCTGGAACTCAACTGATTTCTGCTCGTTGGGGCTTCGCTTTTATGGACGCCGACCAAAACTGGGGTGGGTCTGTCGGCGTCGGGGTTTCCTCGATAATTCTAAATACATATCCACCTCTCTGGTTAGGAATTTCCACTTTTTTTCCATTTTTGGGAGCCTTTCCTTACTCCCACATTCTCACCATACTTCAGAGGGCGTGAACTGCCCTCCCCACTTCTTCGTAGCAGCTTCTCATACCTACACTCTGGATGAGGCGGCAACAGCCTCCTTCGTGCGTCACGTGATCACCACTCGACCAATGATGTCTCAGTCGGGCGTGACGAATCCGCGGCTTTGTTTCAGGAAGAAAAAAAAAATATCTTGCTTAACTAAAAAAAATTATCCCTTCTTTTCCTTTTCTTCCTCTTAATCGCCGTTATCATTTCTATAGTTGCAAACGGGACAATATGAACAATGGCGGTCATAACTCTTGTTCTACACGTGGTTTTCGTCAGGTATTTTATCGCCAATTATCAATTAACACGGCCAACGTCGCCCCGAAAAGACATTTCTAAATTCCCATTCATTTCCTTTCGGTACATATTTCTGATAACATAATTTTATTATCGCAGGCCAAGGATGTTCCGTCGAAAAAAAATCGGTCAGCGGACACGGCTTGTGTGGCTTTTAATTTTTCATATCTGTCCAAAGTCCCTTTTAGTTGCCTGTTTTTCGTCACTTATCGAAATAACATTTTCATTTGAATTTTTCTTTGGCCGGTCGACCAGCAGTTTGTTTACGTACCCCTAGATAACACAGCCGTTATCAAAACACATCTGATTCTTTCTTTCTTTCCCTTTCTTTTTACTCAGAATTTCCCTGTCATTGTAATGACACCCTTTCGCCATTTGTTACTTATCAATATATCCATTGTCTCTTAGCCGTGTGTATGTTCTGCTTATCACCCACGATTCGTCTCGCCTTTCTTTCTGCTTTCTTTTCTTTCTTTTCCTTTTCTGCCTCGTTAAATGGTGCCACATCAGGGAAGGAACACGTGTAAATATAAAGTGAACATTAAGGTCAGCACTGAGCAGTGACAGTCTGTTTCATCTTTGAACATAATCTTCAGGTCATGGGTGTTATGTCGTGGCTTGACTATTTATATATGCTGGTCAAAGATGCATTATGGTTAGCAAGGTCTATGAAATCCAATACCTGTAAACTCTGCCTGGAGAAAATAGACATAATGACCTTCCTATACCAATAAAAATTACTAAATAAATGACCAGACCTGTATAAATTACATACACGGAAATACATTTTACTACTGTCATGGGTCCTTACCTATAACTACAGAATGAACTCTTACTAACACTATGTATACTACGCCTCTCAAGAGAGAGGGACGAATCGAGTCGAGCCGATAGTAGTTCACTCCAAACCAGACTGACAGTCATACTAACACCTTCCACATCTTGTATTATTATTTCGTGTTATACACCTTCGTTATTTCTACTCTTGTGTTCGTGTTATTCTTCCTTGGTCCTAACCTGGACCATAACAACTAGGTCATTTTAAAATAGAAAATTTTAAAAAAATATAATCTTGTATAACTACACAATAAAATTTGCAAATATACGCACTATATGCAACGCAGTTAATGTCACATACTTTAGACAAAGCCAATACTTTAAATTAAAAAGTTAAGATAACCAAACCTTGAAAGAGTAAAAGAAACAAATAAACGTCTGTGAGAAAAGTAGCACCATGGCGCAATTCACTCTGCCAGAAATTTGGAAGTGGCATGCTGTACTGCTTGACATTGGCGCCGGATGCTCCAAAATTTCAGGATGTTTGGGTCTTCAGTGCAGAAGATTCGGAAAGAGTTGAATGAGTCTAATGGCGATTACGAACGTATGGCAGCCCGGAAAACAGTCTCTGATCGTTCTGATGAAAAAAGAACTCCCGAATTTGTTGGTGAGGGCCTCAGTATTTCAGGATATTTTTGAGTAATTTCGGTAAATATATCTTTTACAAGGAGATATCGGTGTTATTGTCATTTTTGAGTAATTATTTTAGTAACAACATTAATTCACTTTCATTTAAACAACATGCTAAATATTTACATAACGTAGATTTTTTCTCTAGTTTTTTCTTTTCTTTTCCTTAACGCTGAGAGGTTTTCTCATATTTTAGAGCTTTGGTTCTCAAACTTTTTTACTCAAAGCACCGTTTTCCCCATATGTCAATATGTTATTCCCCACTTTCCAATGCATAAATAAAGTTGACTAAAAAAAGATCCCACATATGCTCTGCTAAATTTTCCCAAAGAAAGAAACGCGTTGTTTTAAGTTCTTCGTCTTATCATTTTAACAGATATCTATCTATCTATCTATCTATCTATCTATCTATCTATCTATCTATGTTCATATCTATCTATCTATCTATCTACATCTATTACATATATATATATATATATATATATATATATATATATATATATATATATATATTAATGAATATCTGTGACCTCATCATCGCTTACATTTAGCCAACTCCGCAGACTATATACCTCTTGATTATAATTGCCGTTAAACTTTCAGCGTTCTATCACAGTTTTTTTTCATCTATCTATCTATCTATCTATATCTATCTATCTATCTATCTATCTATCTATCTATCACAGTTTTTTCATATCTATCTATCACAGTTTTTCATATCTATCTATCTATCTATCTATCTATCTATCTATCTATCTATCACAGTTTTTCATATCTATCTATCTATCTATATATCTATCACAATTTATTCATATTTATCTATCTATCTATCTATCACAGTTTTTTCATTTCTATCTATCTATCACAGTTTTTTCATATCTATCTATCTATCTATCTATCTATCTATGTGTGTTGCTCACAACCACGTAATATCTCCAACGAATAAAAAGCTAATAACTGATAACCTGGAAATAATAAGCTTTCTTTCAAATACTAAATTTTAGAATCAGGGATAGTATTCCTCAGCAAAAAAAATAAATAAATGGATAAAAAAAAAAACACTGTAAACAATGCAACTAACAAAAATGGCCCCATAAATTTCTTTTCTCACCATAACAACAAAATAAAACGCAGAATAATTATCGTATTTAAAAGCACCCAAATTTTGTTGCCATCAATAATTATATGTTGGAAATTACATTGAAAATACGTTTAGCTCCCACAATACACTAATTACTTCATATGACTTCATATTTAACGGGAAACAGTAAAGCTTGTAAAATATTTCAAAACAGAGGAGCCAGGTAAACCCAACGAATTAAGATATATCACACTATCTACCAGACTATTACATAAGCTTACAACAGGAAACATGTTAAAACTAATACAAAGCAAATTAATTATAAGCTAAACAGTGAGAAGGAACTTCCTCTGTTACTGGTAATGATTGCCTCAACGAATACAAAGTAGAGACCTCGAGGAATTTAACAGGCAGATTTTATGAACACAAAAGAGATGGTTTATAAAATCACATACTCAGTGAATTTGGCGCTCACAGCAATCGGTTTTTCCGTTATTTAGTTTAAAAAAAAAATGCTGATTTAATTAAAAGAGAAAGTAATGTACTGAGGCGAAATACTATCGCTACATAATATACTGGGAATTGGCAACCGTGTTCTTGTAATGTTTCACCCGTTTTTTTTTTGTTTTTTTTTTTTAAATATTCTGTTATCACAAGGTGGGATACTTAACACCAAAAGTTATAAAAATATATATAAAAAAAAGTAATGAATGAAATTGGCTAGAATATATAGCCAAAAACAAGTCAAAAGAATTTAGATTTAAGAGATTAAAATTTCAGCGTTCTAATATCATCACCGATTCCTGACGGTACCTAATTTTAGCCGACGCTTATCTTTTTATATTCTTCTTCCATTTACTACACATAGGTAGATTATCTAGTGATCAAAGATCATATATATATATATATATATATATATATATATATGAAGATATATAGGAAAATAAGAAATAACACGTTAGGTAAATAATCCGGAGTTCTTGAGTAATTTTGTTTTTATTTTTAAAAAACATTGCTCCATATTGTTGACTGACCAGACGATGTGCGCACATGAATGCCATCATTCGCTTTGAAATGGACACCTCTTTCCAAAGGTGACTGATATGTGGATAAAAATTAACACAGCCCCAGCCGCTTCCAAAGTAATTAATTTTGCGAATGAATATGCTTATAAAGATGCGTAAATTTCAAGTTTGGTTATTCCTAAATTTTCGCTTTAGGATAAAACAGGGCTTGATACTCTAACTCAATTTAAGTTTTATAATTATATTGAGGTTTTTGGCTCTCGTTTTTTGAAACATAAGAACTCTTATGTAGCGAAGGAATCATAGTTTTTTAAAATAATGATATATATATATATATATATATATATATATATATATATATATATATATATATATATTAGAATAATCCTGAGGAGCCAGGCAAATATATCTAGGTTTTACCTAAACGGATCTTAAATTTTACCCTGGAGATCCGTTTCTTTGAAACAAAGGCAGGTTTGGCTGGCGCCTTAGGATTTATTCTATTTTATTGCTCTACTTAGCGTATTGAGCACTCTATGTTTTAGTCTTTCTACTTGTTTAGGTTTTCTTTTTCTTTTGAATTGGAGCTTAAGGACTTGACGATTGGTTTGGTGTTAATGGTCTTGGTTCTTTTCTTTTTATTTCCAGTTTTTTCGTCGGGTACCGATTTTTTCTAGTACAAGTTCTGTCATCCGAGGTTTTCCAATCGAGTATTACCATACATATATATATATATATATATATATATATATATATATATATATATATATATATATATATATATATATATATATATGTATGTATGTATGTATATATAGTATATTTTATGTTCACACGTTATTGTTATAGGTATAATTTATTTAAGTAAACGCTCTCTTTTAATTAAACAGAATTAATTAAATTTAACGGCCTGAATTAATAGTATTTAATTAAATTCAGTGCCCCTGACGAGTGTACAGAACAATTAAATAAGCGTTCGTCTACGAAACTCTGGAAAAAAAGGTGCCGAATGCAACATCAATCAGGTAAGGGACAACTTAATCCCAATATAATATAATTAACATATACATACATATATATATATATATATATATATATATATATATATATATATATATATATATTTAAGCATTTCACCACAGGCAAGGCGGGAAGCCACTAGGACGCAAGGGGTTACAGAAAGTTTAGAGCAAGATCAGATAGGAGTGATAGAAGAAAGGATGAGGGTAGTGGATAGATCAAAGCAACTGGAGATGTCGATTGACATTACACTTGAATAGCTGGAGATTATAGCTCACATGGAAATAGGAATAGGGAAGGGAGTCCCACAAGCGAGAGGTGCGAGACATGAAGCTATTAGAGTAGAAGAGACGGCTACATTTAGGAGTTTCGACAGTGAAGGGGTGAGAGCGGGATGCCAGCCTCGTAGGGCGCTGGAACTCATGACGTCTGGGAACCAGCGAATGTAGATCCTCGGAGCAATTTCCATGAAAGTATTTGTAGAACAGACAGAGGGAGGCGACGGCGCGTCTGTGAGAAAGTGACTGTAAACGAGACGCCAGGGTAGGGCCAACTACATTGCATATCTGCATCTGGAGCCTATCAAGAACCCTGAGGCAAACAGAAGTGGCACCAGACCATATATGGCAGCAATACTCCATGCAAGGGCGAATTGTTGATTTGTAGATCTGGAGGATCGACTCCGGGGAGAAAAACTTCCTGGCGTGGCTCAGGGAGCCAACTTTCCTTGCGATGGACGAGGCAATTGACTCAATGTATTTATTCCATCTCAGGTCAGCAGTCAACGTGAGACCGAGAAGCCGCAGAGAGTTGCTCTCGAGAAGTTGAACGTCAGACATTCTAATGCGGGGAAGGGAAGGATCTCTGTGGTGATTAATAGAGTACAGTTTTTTCTTAGAAGCGTTGAAGTTGACCAGCCAATTCATGCCCCAGTTCACAATCGATTGGAGGTCCTTTTCGAGACGCATGGCCAGGTGAGTTTTGTCAGCGAGATATATATATATATATATATATATATATATATATATATATATATATATAAATGTATTAATCCTCTTCTTCTCTCTTTATATATAAAGATATTAATCATCTTCTTCTCCATCAAGCTATGGGTAAATAGCAGGACTGACTGGGTTCTATAGAAACTGGTCAAGGAAAAGGAAAAAGTCTCATTTCAAAACCTGTGGGGACCTTGTGGCACGTATGCGACCCTTCAAAAAGTCTGGTTGGTTCTGCACAAAACCTTCACCATTATAATTAAATCATATGTGCTGGTGTCTGGGCTGTCGGTTCGTAAGAACTCTGCTGCTTGACCCTCATACGTCGAATACGACAGGAGAGTCCACAAATATGTGTATATATATACATATATATATATATATATATATATATATATATATATATATATAAATAGATAGATAGATAGATAGATAGATAGATAGATAGATAGATAGATGTGAAATTCAAATATCCCATATCAAAATTCTGAGACTTACCTGAGAAAGAAATATTATTTTTAACCTTTGCCGGTCTTATAACACTACAAGGAATTAATGAAACTTGAGATAATCACAGCTTACGCCTTATTTAACTAAACATTATAAACAGCAAGTGAGATAGATAGATAGATAGATAGATAGATAGATAGATAGATAGATGGATGGATGGATGGATGGATGGATGGAGGAATTTAGGAAAAGGAGCCTTGTGTTAAATGTGTTCGAATCATGACTTAATTCTGTGACATTAACATATTTACCAAAAAAAAAATGGCATTACTGGGGCGAGGGTCAAAGGATGAACCAGAATGATGTGCGCTAAAAATATATCGTGACAATCAGTTAAGAAAGTGAAAGAAAACAAATATATTTGATTTTCTCTTAAAGAAATTCAACTAAAAAACATTACGAGGAACTTAAATAAATTAGCATCCATTTTCTTACTTTTATATTTTTATTTATTTATTTTTTGTAGCCCAGAAAAGAAAATTCTTGAAATAGCTGAGAAGCAAAGATAATAAGCAATAGTGGAATATAACCGAGGGAAAGGGGAATAACTCGTCGAAAAAAAGCCAGAAATAGAAAATAATTAAAAAAAAAAAATAGAAAAAAAATTGTAATCAAATTGATTGATTAGTTTTTTATGGATTATCAACCCTTTGCAGGTTATTTTATTGTATTTTTTTTAGCTAATAATGGTTTATTGATAAGAGTCACGCTTGAAAATTGTGTTCAAACATAAATTAGACTGACGCCGCTTAGTTTTATGCACATCTATATATACATATATATATATATATATATATATATATATATACACGCGCGCGCGCACACACACACACACACACACACATATATATAGTGATTTTCCGAGCGTAACTTAGATGGGGCACATGTGTGGTAGGTATTTTGTGTGGTATTTCTGGCTCACGTTGTACATTAGATTGTGTCCCTTACTACAAGACCCGGATGTTGTCAGTGTAATAGACTATATTTTCTTGCCTACATCCTGGCTTTTTGTCTTTGTCTTTTTTTTTTTGTTTTGTTTTAGAACATCTTTGGCCAAAACATTCGTTTGATTCATTAACGATAATTTTCTACTCAATAAGTGAACAAAATTTACAGCAAGACATATATATATATATATATATATATATATATATATATATATATATATATTTGTGTGTGTGTGTGTGACGTGTTTGTCCATTTATGGGATTTACTATGCTTTACATGACATCTTCTAGTTTTGAAAATTAACATAGACAGACACGACCTGTAGAAGAATGAATAACTAGTGAGTACATCCCAGCTACCATAC